GTGATGCCCTAGCATAGTTAATGAGCGCTGTCTTTGACTAATAGATGAGGAAATCAATGCATGTTGTCTTTCACTGTGGCTTCTCGATTGCACAGTGGGAGTGGGGGAGCTTTGTGATTTTTTTCCTGGTGTAAATGCAAGTCACTGGGTCACCTATCTCAAGTGCATTTGAATATGATCCTTATTTCTGATTAAAGAGTACAACTTTCAGGAATAAAACTTTCATGAGTGACTTTCAGGAGTCTCAGGCAGGAAAGAAGTGCAACGTGGAAGATAGGAAGGCTTTCTAGCACTGCGGAAATCACAACCCAACATGGGCTTCATGAACTGTATTGGTTGAGTTTATGCAGTGGGATTGCCAACACCTTTCCCACTCACTTACATATCACCTTCAGAATGGCTCTTAGGGTATGAAAGAGCTAGTGTCTCAGTCGTCTGCGCTGCATTCCTGGAGAGAATGGACTTACACAGAGGGCCCACTAGCAGAACCCCCTGGTGTACAGAGCTTGCGATCTCTATGGCTTGGCCATACATGTGTAGACCTTTAGAATGGCTGGTTGTCACGAGTGGCTGAGATTGTATTAATAGGTGCAATGGGGTCAGTGACTTCCTTGCCTCTGAGCACAGAGTTATCAGGTGTGTGAGACACAGCAGGTGCAGCGTGTTTTTAATATTCCTGCCATATTCGTGAGCAAGATACTCACGGCCACTCACTGGACTCCTAAGACTTCCTAGATTTCAGGTCACGCTCTAAGAACAGCCAAGAGTTCGTTCTCCTCTTTTACCATAAATAGAAATACTAGGCTTGCATGATACACAATCTTCTGGGCTTGAGTCACCGCCCGCTGTTCTATGCTGAGCTGCAGATCTGTTGGGATATTTTCTGCTACATGAGTGCCTTCCATTCTGAATATTTTATACATTCTGCACATGCTTGGCAGAATAAGGGCTTTCACCAGCGATGAATTCATAGTACACACATTGGCAGCTTTCCTGAACTGTTTACTTTAAAAACATCATCAGCAATTAGCCTGTAAAGTAGAAATTTAAATGAAATCCACAAACAAACACGCCTTTGAGTCAGCTAGTGACTGGAGATGGGTCTAAAGAGGCCTGCTGTAATTAGGCAGGACAAGAGTGGAGAGGAAATTAATGGCAAGCTTACAGAGCACTGGGTTCTTCCACCATAGCTTTGAAAAATTCTATAATTCCAAAGGGAAGGAAAAGAGTGGCATACGAGATGGGTAGAATCCATCAATACGTACTTATCCTGTTCATTGACACATTTGCTATGTACCCAAGAGCTGTGCTGATCACTGGAGATACAAAAGAGAGGAAGGGAAGAGGAGTTATTTATTTAGCGCTTTTTGTGTGGCAGATGCTATGTTATTTATTTTTAAAGCATTTTATTATCTTGAATTTTGACAGTATTCTGCAAGGCAGGGATTTTACAGGCAAAGATTTTGCAGACGAAGAATCACTCAAGAAGAGCAGTGCACAGAAGAAAGTGGGTGTGGAGGTTTCGCTGTCAGTGGAGACGGGGAATATAGACTGTAACTACTGCCAGGGTTCAAGGAAGGGAGAGGTTAATATAGGTCGGAGCCATCAAGAAAGGCTTCACAGAGGCTGGAGGGGTAAGTACAGCTCTTAACACATGGGTAGAATCTTAAGGAAGTGAAGGAGGCTGGAGGGATGGGCTTTTAGGGAAATAGTCCCTTTTTTGCTATTTTTTTGTCAGGTCATTTTTTTCTCCTAAAGGGATGGCCTCTACAATGAGGGGGCAAGACTAGAAGGAGATCGTGTGTGTCGGGGGGTGGGTGGTGGGAGCTTGTAGGAGCCTGGGGCGGGGTGGCGGTATAGACAGCACTAGAGAGATACCTAGAAATAATTCCTACTCGGCGGCAGGGCCATTTCCAAGACTCGCTAGCGTGCTTTTGACAGCGAAGGAGATGGCTTAGCTATCGCTGAAGAGTCTGAAATGGAGATTTCCAAGCAGGAAAAAAAATGTAAGCATCTACTCTGAGAATTTTGAAAGTGCCAGTTTAGTTTCAGAGTCAGGCTTTACAAACATTGCTGTGTTTTTAAACTCTATTCTGGCAGGTAACTTTATGTTTTACAAAGATCTTTCACATCGCTATGTCTTCTTTGAGCTTTATCTTTGCCAAGATTCTGATGAGGAAGAGACAGTATTTTCTTAACCTGTTTGACATATGATCAGTCCTCTTTGGTACAGGTGTGGTGTTGGAGACACGTGAACCAGGTTGCGTTTTCAAACTAGTCAACGAGGTAGTTTCTACAGACTGTCTCTTTCACTCTGGTTTGAAAGGCAGCTGCAAACTCTAAAGCATCATGGTTTTACAGCAGAAAGGAGAGAGGAGTTGGTGGGAAACAAGGACCAAATAAAAGTTAACGGCAGGGTGGTGAGTGTTTACTGAGTGGATTTAATTGTTTTTCAGTTCTCAATCTCATTAAGTTTGAAGCTCTAGGCTTCCATTATGAGTGAGGTGTTTCACTTGCATCCATCAATGCTAATTCACTTTAGTTGACTATCTTAGTTTATTGGTCTTTTAATATTTAAAATATTCCATGCACATGAGAAGCTTTCCTGCCTTGATTAGGAAGCCAGCAACCAGGCACTGGGGATAGCTAGGAAAAGCCAACAGTATGCTAAGACCTGCTCTTGAAAAGCTAAGCCTACACCATGCCAGCCAAGGTCAACATGGCATTAGACTTAGGACTCTGGAGTCTGACTGTTCCGAGATTTAAAAACATTTATATTCTAATAATATATTGAGGTGAAATTCAAATAACATAAAATTCGCCATTTTAAAGTGGACAATCCAGTGGCATTTATAATAGTACATTCATAATGCAACTACCACTTCTAATTCTAAAACATTTCCTCCTTTTTACCCATTAATCAGTTTCTCCCCTTCATCCCCTTAGTGCCTGACAAGTGCCAATCTGCATTTTGTCTCTATGCATTTATCTATTACTGATACTTAATACAAATGGAATCATTTATTATATGTTTGGCTTCTTTCACTTGGCATAATGTTTTGGAGGGTTATCCACATTGTAGCAGGTATCAATACTTCATTCCTTTTTATGAGTGAATAACATTCCATTGCACGTAAATACCACAATTTGTTTATCCATTGGACATCTGGGCTGTTTCCACCTTTTGGCTACTGTGAATATAGGTGTACATGTACTTGTTTTTAGTTATTTGGGGTATATTTCTAGGAGTAGAATTTTGGGGTCAGATGATAATTCTATGTTCAATTTTTTCGGGAATCACTGAAATGTTTTCCACAGTTGATGAACCATTTTGCATTCTTGCCAACAATATATGAGGGCTTCAATTTCTCCACATCCTGGCCAACACTTGTTATTTTCCATTTATTTTATTATAGCTATCCTAATGGATGTGAAGTGGTACCTTATTGTGGTTTTGATTTGTATTTCCCTCATGACTAATTATGTTGATCATCTGTTCATGTGCTAGTTGGCCATTTGGAGAAATGTCTATTCAAGTCCTTTGTCCATTTTTAAAACTCAGTTGTTTGTCTTTTTCTTGGGAATTTGTAAGACTTCTTTATGTGTTATGGACACTGGCCCTTATCAACCATATGATTTGCAAATATTTTCTCCCAGTCTGTATGTTGTATTTTCACTTCATTGATAAAGGCCTTTGATGTGAAAAAGGTTTAAGCTCTTCTGTCAGATACCCACCTGTTTATTTCCCTCCTTATCCAGGTACCAGCTCAGTGATATGTCCTTAGGGAAGCTTTTCCTGACCACCTTATTTAGAGTCCATTGGTCCTGTTCCCTACCCTACTTTACATTTCTTTGTAGAATGATGGTTCCTAGAACATGAGCTCCATGTGAGTGGGGACTCTGTTTTATTCATCACTATAATCCTAGCATCTAAAACCATGTCTGATACACATTGCGCATTCAGTAACTTCTGAGTGAAGGAATGAATGGATGAGTCTCCTCCAGAGAAAGAGAAGTGTAAGTAGCACAATTAGCATAAATAAAATAGGATTTGGGCTGAGGCATAATTTGATTTCAGTGCCATTTTTGTCACTTATCCTTTGTGTGATCTCAAGTAAGTTATTTAACCTCTTTGGACCTCACTTTGCTCATCTGTAAAATGGGTGTAATAATATGTATCCTGAAAACTTGTAGAGAGGCTTGACTGTTAGGCATGTAAATCTGGTACATTGTTTGGCAAATAATAAGTACTTAAGCAATTGCAGCTGTTATTAAGGACATTGTTTTTCACCCCCACATAGGTTATAACTCATGAAACTCTTGGTTCTTAGAAGACAATGATATATTTTGGCTTCTGGACTCACAGCTTCAGTGTTGAAATTGCTTGGTGTCTGACAACATGGAAGACTTAGTTTCCCAAAAATTGCTAAGCTATGTTCCAGTGGTAATTTTATTTTATGTATTGTCTTTCCCCCTTGAAGTAGGTACGTTTTGGTTCCTGAGTCTATAGAGAATTTCAAAAAAAGATACATTGTATATTGATAAAATGAAGGCAGCTTTATATTTTGAATGCTATTTTTGAAACTTCAATTTAGAAAACAAATTTCGATGGTATCACAGTTAACTTCACCTTAAAGCTCAGGTATTCACAATTTTCTTAATGGATTTTTGAGAATTTAGTAAAAATTCTCTAGCCAATTTTAAGCTCTACTTGGATAACTTAATCACAATGCAGCCACAAGGAAATAAACAGATTACATAAACCATACCATTCACTCATGCCAGACAAGTCCTTTGCCAGGGATAGAATACTGTATTGCATCTAATTCCAGGGTTGGGAAATGGACTTGCATTGATAAATCAAGGACTGGCTTGGTACATAGCCAGGTGCAAATGGCTGTAACTCAGTGTTTAATTCTGCTGACTTGCTTTTTTCCCTCAGCTTCTGGAACACCATCCCCTCTGCCCCTCCTGCTTCTGTCTCTACTGCAGGCTCTCACCTCCCTTCACAAGATGTTGAAGAACCTTCAGGAATCCATCTTTCAGACAGACAGGAGCTAAAGATTCTGATGCAACTGCCCAGGGGATTGGCTTCAAGGCAACAAATTTGCACTGCAAAAAAAAAAAAAAAAAAAAAAAAAAAATTGCAAAGAAAATCAGATGTAAGAAACTGTAGCACCAGAGGCAGGATAGGTGATTGGAGGATAGATGTTCTTAATCTTCTTTTTTGAAACAATGATAATGCATTCTCTACAATGCTGGGTAGAAAAGGTGAAATCATGCAATAGCTCCATGCCTTGACAGTTGGACCGGGCTTGCTGGTCCTCTACTTTACACAACGCATTACATACAGTTTGCACTCACTAAATACTTCCTTTGTACAATGGCACTCACATACTTCTTTTTCCTCTGAGTCACCAGCCATGATGCCCAAGGAGGCTTCCTTTTGTTAGCAAGATGCTTTATCTCCTTGGCCATCAAAAGATGGATGAGGAGGAGCAGCTGAGGAACAGCAGGGCTGGGTGGGGGGCAAAAGCTGTTCTCTAATTCTTTCTCTCATTCTCTTCTGTGACCACCCCCTGCTGTTCGAAGGGGTGGCATCAAAGCGACTAAGCACCTCCTCCTCCATCCTGCAGCAAGATCAGCCCTGTAAACTAGGGTTGCGGCATCTTCCTTACTTTCTTGTCAAAGTAAAAAAAAATAGGGTGCTAAAACCCCAAACTTGAAACAGGAAGAAAGAATAGATCTTACAGGTAGCCGCAAAAATCCTAACATCTGTCTATTTTTCTCAGTAACCTAAATGAAGATCCGAGGCAGCGTTTACTCTGAACAGTACAGGGACATGGGGTTCATTTAAAATAAGAGCTACTTTAAAAATCTGGATTTCAGTGTTTCACTGTGTCTTAAACAGGGGACTGAAGGCATTTTAAAGGAAGTTACTAAGTCTGAGTGGAAACTCTGTTTAGATTCTATATTAATTGTACTTCCTATTGTCTTCTTGTTCCCACACTTACTTTAAACCTAAATGAGTCGAAAGAAAGGGATCAGACATAAATAAATATGATGACAAAATCAGGTGTACCAATTTGACCAGATAAGCATAAAATGCACTCTGTATCTGAAAATGTTAAAAAAAAATCATGCACAGACTGTGATGAGGCAAGATCAATTTTAATGAATATGTATTGGGTTTCTGCTCTTTGCTAAGCCCTTTGCGTATATCATTTCATTCATTCTCCAAAACAACTCTGAGAGATAGACATAGTAAGGTAGAAAGTGTGGACACCTATTTCACAAAGTTATTCAGGTTCTTAAATAAGACAGTTAACTATATGGATGGCTAAATGCCTTGTGCATATTATTATTATATGCTTTATGCTTACTAACAATAATTTATTCCCTTTTGAACCTGGCATGAAAGGAAACAGAAGCTGAGTGAGGTCAAATTGCTTTCCCAAGGTCTTGTTGCTGGCAAGTGGTGGTTCTAGGACCCAGGAGTGAGGAAAAAAGGCTTTTAGACCCCAAATTCCTCTGACGCTGTCATGAAAAGATCTTTTCCAGCTCATAGAAGGCAGATGAGACAAACAGACTACTGACACAATAAGGACCTGCACATTCCTCTTTGGGATCTTCTATACATTTGCAACAAGAGAAAAGAACATATGAGCTCTGAAAAGTCCCTTTTCAAAGTCACTTTTAGCTTTGAGTTTAGAATTATTCATTTTTTGTGTGTCTATTAATGATGTTTAGGGCGAACTGAGATATGTAAAGGAATATTCTCAGCAGTGTTATTCACAATGACCCAAATTGGAAAACAACAACAACAAATGTTTATCAACAGGAATGGGCATGTTTTAATATTTTATATAAGGAAGTGCTATACACTAATGAACACACATGAATGTCTGCTAACCACTCCTTGCACAAACACATGGAAGAATCCCAAAAATATAGTAATGAGCAAAAGAAGCCAGACCAAAAATATAGACTGTATAATTCTGTTTTCATAAAAGTAAAAAAGTAGGCAGCACTAAACTATATTTAGAGATTTATCCATAAATATTAAAACTATTATGGAAAACAAGGAGATGTTTACCCATCAAAGTCAGGCCAGGGTCACTCCAGGATACAGACGAGAGTTTTGATGAAGAACTATGTTGAGTGCTTTCAGGGTGTAAGCAATGTTCTCGGTTTGTCCTTGGAGGTGGTTTTAGGAATGTTTACTTTAGAATAATTTATTAAAATGTGCATTTATATTTTATGCATTTTTCTGTGTACAGATCATATCTTACATTTCACAATAAAAAAGGTTTACAAAGAAATACTGTACTGAGAAGACATAGTTCTTGGATGAGATAATAACAGGAGGGATCAGAATCTTTGGCTCCCACCTCCTCTTCTGCCCTCTTGCCCCCTCGGAATGGAGGCCAGGGCAGGTTGGCGCAGCTGTGCGGCCACGGTGGCTTCCCTGCTGTCTGCCCTGTCACATGACAAGCTGAGCTGGTGATGGGGCTTGGGCCACTGGGGAAATGTCTAGATCTTTACTTCACGTAGAAGGTGGGAGAAGAGCTGGAAATGATTTCGATAATGTTTGACATTACACTTACGAAGGAATAAAAGGACAGGGAAACATTTTAGCTAGTCTGTCTCTCGGGACTCTGCAATTTTTCTCTCTCTTGTCAGGAGAGAGAACCAAGCTATCCCCAGATAATAAAGAGAAAATATCCTTATTTTCAGCCTGTCCCAAAATATCAAATGAGTCTCACTCTTAAACCCATGCTATTTCCATGTCATCATCACTAATGATCGTTTTGCATAGTTGCTGTTCTTATTGTAGGGGTCTGAACACCTGGGAAATTAGGTGTGTCTGCCCCCAGTTCCCCAAGTGTAAGCATTTCGGGGTGGATGTGAGTTTGGGGTAGCTCAGTTTGACGGTGAGGTGTCCAGGAAAAAAGAAAGCGCAGCGCTTGGGATAGGAAATAACTTAGGGGAAGCGATGAAGGTGGCTACGGGGTGCAGGGTAGAGACCCACGAGAATGGGTTAGGAAGCCGCACACACTATGAATGTAAGATTGTCTCAGCAGTCAGGGCCTCGGCTCCTTGTCTCAGGGAATATATGATATTAAGACCCAGAATGAGGATTCAGTGTGCAGAGGATATAGATGATTCCAGTGATATGAATTTAAAAAAAAAAATCTGGCAGTCAGCTGTGAGTCTACACAATCTCCTCCGCTGCTCTGGTCAGTCAATTCTTACAACCAGGGCTGATCCCTGACCACGCTGCATTAGTTAGAGTCAGTAAGGTAGGAAACAAGGTGGTCGGTGGGGGCCTTTGATACTGAGTCAGGGAGGGCTGTGTTCATACTGCCCGGAGAAAGCTGCAGCAGAATTCTAAGAAGACAAATAAGGTTGAAGAATTAGATTTTTCCTCATTCGTTTCACATGGAAAACGGAATTTTGTAACTGCTTTGAAAGGTCAGAGTCCTCCCTTTTGGACGGTACTCCACCACTGAGACCAATTCTTTATTTGATGTGTTCTTGAAAAAAATGGCAGGCATTTAGGGAGTGTGGACAAGGAGGATGGTGAGCTTCCAGAAAGGAGCCGGGTTTCTTCCTTGAACGGGCTTGCTGCCCAGAAGAAGGGTTGATTTGCATTTTATCTGCAATGCACCACTCGTTGGTGTGCAGTGCTGCAGCCCTGCACGCAGCCTCTGCCTGGACACAGCCTTGTCCTCTGAGAAGGGCTGCATTCATTTGTAACCACCCAACACTGTTGAGTTGACAAGCCAGCATTTTCTTCCTTTTACCAACACCCCAAGAAAAGAAACTTTACTGTGAGATCTTCTCGAGCCGTTCGAGGTCACTTAAGAAGGGAGCTAAAATAAGGAAAATCACTATATTTTTGTTTGAGCAAGGATTTGAAGGATAAAATATGCAAGAAATAAAAAAAAAATCCCAGAACCTTTAAAGATTGAGTTATATTTGTAGGAAGTATAATTCACATGAAATAACAGCACCGTTCCCCTTCATCTCTGTGGTTGAAATTCAGGTAGATTTGGTGGATTAAAAAAAGTTTCCTAGCTGTGAAGGCTTTGCCATGTCATTTTCTAACTCATCCATTCCAATACTTTGTAGCATAGGTAGTTCAGTAAAGGGTTCCCTCATGTTTTAAAATTAAGCTTCTGTTGATAACTTTGGTTCAGATCTAAGGTAAAGTGAAAGAATCCACATAGTTGCAGGTGACTGATGAGAAATGAACAGCAGCAGAATGTCCTAAGAGCAATGACAATCTGCCTCTCACTGGAGAGTCCCCTAGAGGACTGTCCCCAGTCCTCATCTGCCTCGTCTGCCTAGATGATCTCATCCAATCCCATGTTTTAAATTACTATCTGATGACTTCCAAACTTCTATCTCCTGGCCAAATATTTCCTCTGAATTTCAGAAACATGCTTCAACTGGGTAATGGGCATTTACATATGAATATATCAAATGAATTAAAAAGTAACATTTATTTTGGGGAATAGAGGTGAGGATTGAAATTCTTACTGCTTGCTTCACCTCTGTTGGAGTTCCTTACACATAAGCTATACAATATTTATACACGCAAGGTGAGAAACAAATTGGAAGCATAGTACGGCTTTATTATGGATTGGCAATTAGCTAACATAGTGTTAACACCACCCTTAACACGATACTGTCTGTAACACTGATTTGGAGAGTACGACTTAAGCCAGAGGTACCCAGTGGCATTTTCTGCTCCCTCTTTATTCTGCACATAAGATGGCTAAATCTTCAGATTAGACCCTAAGCCAATCACCTGGCCTGCTACCTGCAAGGAGACTGGCACCTGCTCCTAGCAATTAGACCCTGTTCAGTTTGTTTTCCAGATGGGAGACCAGAAACACAAAAGTGGAAGAAAGGAAGATGATAGAGGGTTCTGAACTTTGCACATGTTTTCCCAACCACTGAATGCCTTTCCTCCACCGCTTGGTGAATTTCTACTCACCCATCTAAGGTTACTCTTAAAAGTTACCTTTTCTGTGAACATCTCTTGATATACCAAGCTTTAATTATCCAGTGTCCCCATAATATGCCACCCCTGAGCATGTGGC